GCCAAAGAAATTGAACAAGTTTCTTGGCCTTGACTGGGCATTTTGTCGGAATTAGTGGGCGCCGGCTCTGTCGGCTATCCGTAATTGCGTTGATTAGATCCTCGTTTGATTCTGTTGCTTCGCTGTATGGTTCCTGTCGAGAGAACACCTCGTTCATCATTATTCCAACGGAATACATGTCAGATTTGCGAGTGTTTAACGAACGACCTGTCAACAGCTCTGGGGCCATCCACAAAGGCGTTCCAGTTGCATTTTTGGCATTTCGATGAGACAATCCAAAGTCAGATAGCTTCGCTCGGAATTTGGAGTCGATGAGAACGTTTCCAGTTTTCAAATCGCCGTGGACAATTGGCGGCTTCGAAGAGTGGAGAAAAAGAACGCCTTGAGCAATATCCTTTAGTATGCTATGGATTAGGTCTGCCTCCATTATGATTGACGGATTCAGAAGTACCTCCTGAAGCGACCCATGTTCCATGTATTCCATAAGCATCATCTACGGTACAACAAATGAAGCAAAACAATGAGACGAAAATTGGCCAACACCATGGAAATCTGAAATTCGATACTCACCTGTTCGACTCCTTTCTCAATGACCGCGCCTGTCGAAATGATGGGTACAAATATAAGTTTTTTTCTGTTTTGACATGAATAATTGCAACATGAGCTGGTACTTACCCATGACGGTGGTGATGTTTGGATGACGAAGCTTTGACAACAGCCTCATTTCTTTCACGAATTCACTCTTCCTTCTAAAGCGACTCTTCGACACCGTTGAGCTTGCAGTGAGGGTGTCATCCTCATCTGAATCAATGGATACTTCTTGAACTTCCCTCGAAAATGTCACGCTAGGTCTCTTTCCTGTAACTGGTCGATCCGTCAAGTCAACTGACTTTGAATCTACAGATCCCGCGGTTACGCTGGTGTTGGACCGCTTGACCTTTCGATCTGATCCTTCTTCCAAATCCAATTCCGTTTCCAAATCATCCCTATTACCTGGGTTCGTTTTTGACATTGACTTGCTACCGCTGTTCGACCGGCCGCTCCAAAACGTATTACCACTCGAACCATTCCTTCGTTTTGTCGGAAGAACCTTCTTAACCGCAACCTTTGAGCCTCTGTAGTTTGCAAGGAGGACAAATCCAAATGTTCCTTCACCAATAACCTTGGGTGGGTCACTAAGCTCCAGCTCGGAACGCTTCACCAACCACAAGCTGTCCGCTTCCTTGCTCTTTTTTCTTACATAGCACAATACGGAGATGGCCAGGATTGTCATGATCGGAGTGAAAGTACCTACATTCAACGTAATACGTGATATAAAGTGAGAAGGTACTTTGAGTGACAAGACAATCCAAAAAGCAGATACGAGCAATGATGCTTCAGCACTTACCCCACATGACATGCTGCCCTTCGACACATCTGCCAAGCATTGAAAACGTTGCATCTTGACAGCGGCAAGTTCCATCCTCGTTGGGAGTTTGCTTGGTTGGACATTTGCGATACACCACTTGCACACGGAGCGGAGATTCATCGATTTGCTCTTCACCGTCAAAGATCTCAAGGACCATTAGTCCAACACGAGTGGAAGTCAAAGGTAACACATATAGATTAGGCTTCTTCCCTGGAACCACATCAATTTCGCGTTCATCATTCCCTTCGAGAGCAATGACACGCAGATTCAATCGGTCTCCAAGCTCAAGATTGTCCGCAATTGTAAAATTGAGCACCTCATTTTGGACAAGGGTTCCGCAGATACTCATCTTTTCACATCCAGTTCCTGGTCTATATGTGTCGTGTGGTGCAACTTCGACAGGGAAAGCCTTAAAGCAAGGTTTGCATAAGCATTCGGACCCTTCTGGGCAGTTAAGTCCAGCATCTTCACAGGATGAATGAAACTCGTCTCTCGGCAATTTGAAGAATCCAACAGGACATTCGACCTTATCATACAAATCAGGAGAAGAAGAACACCTCCAATCTCGAGTGACTGGATCTCTCTTGAGGACATTCGTATCGAAATGGAGCTCGTTTACATCGTCGTAGGATAAAGTTGTTCTCCAACCAGCGTATTTCCCATCGGAAAGAGCCTTGGCTGCCGCAAGCGCCGTATCCATTGTGGTGTCACAGGAAGCTTGGGGATTCACAACAGCAAGATCATTACACTGATCTGTAGAGTTGATGTCACCTTCAAGGCATGATTCCACCAGTAGTCCTGTGTCTCCTTGCCTCGCCATTGAAAGAAGAGCTGATTGTACTTTTTGACTGATCTCGAATGGAGTCGTCTTCGTGGCCACAAGATTCCATTCGGGATAGAGTGGAGTCGAATGCTTGTACGGAAAGACGTTGTCTGAAGCTGTTATGTCTTGCCGGCTGTCAATGATCTTGATCTTGGTAGTGTCGACTAGGTTGCCTTCTGCATCTCTGGTCTGTTCAATCAATCCTGTACGTACGAAACCCACATCAAAAGTACCATCTAGTACTCCCCGTACAACATCATCCTGGTTGCCAGTGAAGACAAGCTGAGCAGGGTCGGTTACATATGACATACCATTCTTTTGCATCTCATAGAACTGCATTAGACCAGAACCAAACCCAGAAGTGGAGATGGCAGCTATCGTTTTGTTCCTCAAGTCTGTGATGGTGTTGATATTCTCATTCCCCACTTGTGTAATGATCAGACCAGCAAACTCGGACATGCTAACGGCCTGTCCGCCAACTTCAGTCGACACAATGAGCGAAGCGAGTGATTGGGTGGCAAACTGTGACGCAATGCATGAGGAAACACTTGGGCTCGAAAACAAGAAGTCCAATTCTCCTGATTCAATCTGTTCGAACGCGGAATCAAAGCTGACGTCCACCATTTCGAAATCAATTGGCGGGTCAAAGCGTTTCCCAGCTGTTGCCGATAAATATTTCGTGAAGGTGGCATTGTAGGTCGAATAGACAGCTTCTACGCCTCGAATTGCCAGTACTCCAATCTTGTACTTCGTTTTGTGTCTCGATGCATCAAATTGTATTCGCGCGAAACATGACTGATATTGCTGAAGATCTTGAGCCATAGTGAGATGCAAAAGCATCATCATTTGCATGATTAGGACCTTCATTCTTCTTGAGTCAAGCAATTTCACAGCTTATGTTTTTCTTGCTGATTTTATTTGCTTTCGTAAATGTGACAGTTGATTATGCGGGCGTTTTGTGCCTCAGTCTCATCATCAGTTCGAGAGCAGTCTTATTACCCCGGCGTAGTTTTCACACCGAAAATGTCCCTCTTTTCTATTTTATATAATGTACACACCGCTTTGTCAGTGGCGAGCCTGCTTGTGACCTAAGGTAGGAAAAACTCTTCACCTGTCATTTTATACAGGTTTTTCTGCAGTTGCCACATTTTCCATTGAGGCTTCTCTTTTATATATATCTGCGTGTGCATGGTACACGTGTACGAGTACCGTGCACGTACCACACCTGTACCAAATAAAAGCTTTTTGACAAAAAAATCGATCGTTTTCTATTTTTTAATTAGAGGCGAACAGTCGCGGGCGTTTTATGCATCGGCTGTTTTGAGTCCGGAATAATCTTCACACTAAAATGTCTTAGAAAATTATGTACAGCTCCGTACTGTGCTTTCCGTAGGTAGCGGAAGGGAACTGTGGTGACTTCTTCGCCAGCAGGCAGAACATTCGGTTCCTCACGTCACTATTCATTTACCATACAAGTTTTTTGCCTCATGCGAACGACTGTTAAAATGAAACTGAAATGTGGCCCCTGAGGATTGTGAGACTGGTGTTTCTGTGCCCAAAATAGTAAACCCCGTATCCCGACTTCGCGATCACTTGAGTGCCCGTGCTATCATAACCTTTTAACTATTGTCGGGAAAGCCAGGACGCGGGTATTATCTGTATGTCCCCCGTCTGTGACATCTTTCTCACTCCTATTTTCCTTTGTTGGTAAAGAAAGAAAGCTATATTTAATACATAACTATCAGATCACCCATATTAGATTGCAAATCAACTCTTTCAGGTGTCCTTTCTAAACAACTATAGTATTAATTGAAAACTACTTTACAACACTTCACCAAAAGGGACGAGATAGAAACGCATTGTCAGAACACGCAATAATACTCCGTTGTCATCTTCCCCTTCCGCTAAGTCTATTATGTCCAGCCACGCAGGGTCGTGGGTGTTTCAGGTGCTTGACTCATAAGCAACCTTGCGCTTGCTACGGGGCAGTGAATCTTCTCTGTTGCGAGCTGCTCTTCATTCGTGATGCCACATTCACAGTGTCTCCAAAGACTCCATACCGACGGTTCAAATTACCAACGACATTATCCACAACAGGACCAGAGTGGAATCCCAATCGAATTTTGAACAAGCCAAGATAAGTATCATCGTAGTCAATCGGCGTTTCAGATGCAGCCTTGATGGAGCTCTTTGTGGGCGTTTTGGGGCGACCCTCTTCTTGGCAATTTAAAATTTAACGGTAGAACGCGCAAATGATGTCCTCGACGAACTTCAGGAAATACCTGCATTTACATGAGATAAAAACTTCGAATCATATGTTAGTTTATACTTTAGATTGCTTTTCAAGCATGATGTCATCCCCATTTCCCTTTGAGTTTTTGTTTCTAGGAATATTAGTAAGATACAGGTCCCTTCCGTCAGTGAAAAAGCTTTTGCGGTGAAGGAGGAAACTTTTTGGCTGACTCACTCGCTCCCCTTGGTTTAGGAACAAACATAACTAAAATCGCTACTTAACCGACCCAGTACGTCGTCATCTTTCCTTTTCCCTTGATCTCTGTTTCTCCTCTCAGCCGTACTTTGATCTCGGGTGCTTGAGTCATTAGAAGTTTTGCACTAGCTTTCGAGCAATGGATGCGACCTTTCTCAGAGTTGCTCTCCATTCGTGAAGCCACATTCACGGTGTCTCCAAAGACTCCATAGCGAGGATTCAGATTACCGACTACATTGCTCACGACGGGACCAGAGTGGAATCCCACTCGGATGTTTATAAAGCCATGAGAAGGATCATCTTCGTCAACCAGCGTTGTTGATGCAGCTTTGATGGCATCCATGGCAAACAACGCGACACGTTTGACATGATCAAGATACTGATCTGTGGCTAGATTGCCAGCACACATGTACGCATCACCGATGGTCTCAATCTTGAAAAGCTCGTGCTTTCTTGACAAGTCATCAAACTTCAGATACAAACGATCGAGTAGCTGCGAAACTTTCAATGGTTCGAACTGGCCAGCAATTGTGGTGAACCCGACAATATCGGAGAAGAATATGGTAACAATGTCATGGGATTCGGGCTCAACTTTCGCTCCCGACTTCAATACTTCGGCGACGTGTCTTGGGAATGCCTGATACAAAAAGTGTTCATCGTTATCACCTTGAGACTTTGTATGCTCCTGCATACTGTGAGAACCCGAAGCATGAGCACAAGCTTCAAACGCTTTGAAATCCATTTCTTGCAGCCGATTGTCAAGCTCACTTGCTGTTGGACGGAGGCTTGGGTCACCATGCCATAGGAATTTGATGAGTTTCTTCACCTTAATCGGACAATATGATGGTATTCGAGGTCGTTTATTTTTCTTCCGGTCCACTATTCCCTTCAGTAAATCTTGATTTGACTCGGTGGCATCATAGTAAGGCTCTTTCCGAGCGACTATTTCGTACATTATAATACCCACAGCGTACATATCAGATTTTGGAGTATTGAGGGACTGCCCAGACAGAAGTTCTGGAGCCATCCACAAGGGTGTTCCAGTTGCCTTGTCAGGTTTACGATTCGAGAATCCAAAATCAGAAAGCTTGGCGCGGAACTTCGAATCGATCAAAATATTCTGAGACTTCAAGTCGCCGTGAATAACTGGAGGCTGTGATGAATGAAGAAAGCGAATCCCAGAAGCCATATCCTTCAGTATATTCAAAATCAAGTCCGCTTCCAGAACCATTGTTGGGTTTAGAAGAACTT